TACTTTACCAAGTGGGTCGAGGCTGCCCCTGTGCCGACCATCACTGAAGAACATATGAGGAAGTTTGTGTCCAAGCAAATCTTGTGCCGGTTTGGGGTGCCCCAGCAGATTATCACCGACAATGGAACCCAGTTCGAGGCTAGAGGGTTCAATGTGTAACACCCTAATCCGTCCAGGTCTGCAGCCCCTTTCGGACTAAAGTATTAACTTGGTAATCGTAAAATTTAAAACTTTTCAAACACTTTTATTTATCACGATAATATTTTTCGTAACATATACAGTGCGGAGTTTTCAATATTGCGGAAGCTTAACAAATCATAATTACAAACATAATTTGTTTATGTTCAAAACCATCACATCCATTCCGACAATCTCGCCTCCGTCTGCCTCCAGAATCACGTCACATCATTCTTTCTATTAACCTGCGTGTAGCAAATAAAACATACTACACGCTCAGCGGTGAAGCTGAGTAAGCATATCTAATGCGTCGAACATCCATATAAACTGAACCCAAATTCATAATCAAATCATTTGATATCATGCACAAAGTATTCAGTTCAAATATACAATAATCAATATTCAACATTCGTCATTCAATATTCATATTCAACATTCAACATCCTCATTCAATAATATTCTTAAACTATTCTTAGTCTAAGGCCAATTCAATTCTTAAACTGATCTTAGTTCAAGATATTCTAATCCTTAAGTTAGGCCTAGTTTAAGATATATTTTTAAAAAGTGTTTTCAAATCTTAAACTTACCTTCGCTTAAAGTCAACCAAAAACCGACAGCGTAGTGTTCACTGTTGGGTTGGGTGGTAACCCCAAACGAGTAGGTACTCAAGTTTGGTTCTTGGATCCCGTACGTACATTTTAACCCCAGCCACCGGGCATCATACCCGCAAGGCCTATTTCTAATCTATCTTAGAGGTCTTCTAGATAGTATTAGAAACCAACATCAATATGGATATATCTTAGAGTTTTTCTAGATATCCTTAATAGTTCATCATCAATTTCCAAATGGGTATATCCTAGAGTTCTTCTAGATAACCTTAACAGTACAATTCATCAATCCGAATTATTTCATAATTATCGTTGTATTCATTTCAAATCATAGTTTAAATCATTCACAATAATCATTTTAATCAGTGGGTTCATCATCAATAGTCATACATAACAATAATCATCATAATATTCAATAACAATTAGCGGCCTAGCGTCGAGTGTTAACACCCTAGCTTACCGTCATACATCACGAAAAGTCCTCTTAGTTGTCAAAACATCATTTTTATTTCAAGAGATCATCTTTATATTAATCATAATTTATTGGTATCAAAAATAAGATTCCATAGTTCAAAAATCATGTTTTCTAAATAATAATTGATTAATATATGATAGGAAATTCAATTATTAGCTATTAGCTTCATTTTCTTCAATAGTGTAGGGAGACAGTCTACTGTCACTTCTGATAATCTACTGTCTGATGTTCAGAATGGGCTGATAATTGATTATCACACTCTGATAATCGATTATCAAACTTCAGAGAGGGCTGACAGTCGATTATCACACTCTGAGAATCGACTGTTGCTCAGCTTTGTTCCAAAAATCTGCAAAACGATGAATAATCGATTTTCAAGTTGATAATCGATTATCCATCGTCTTATACCTCGAGCCAACTTGCGGAAATGTCACTTTTACTCACCAAACTTCAATTAAAGTATATAAAAGTGTTCTCCAAGGTTCATAGATCATTTTGGCATCATTAATTCATAGTTTTAACAACAAAATCATGGTTTACGATTCTTAGTTCTTCAAGCATGTCAAACACAAAACTCAACCAAATGACCATCTATGAACGTAGAATCGATCTATATGAGCATTCTAGTTATTAGATATATCTACGGGCTTACCTCGAAGCTTAATAGAGGTTTTGGAAATTTTCCGGCGAAACTTCCGGCGAGTAATTCTCCCAACTCCAGCGACTTCACACCAAATTGACAGCACCACAACACTCCTCACACTTTCATGAACACTTACGAAGAAGAATGAAGAAGAATGGTGAAGAAATGAGAAGGTTGGGTTCTCTTATATAATGAGAATGAGAGAAGAAGAAAACAGCTATGGTGACTCCACAATTCTGTGATCGGCGTTGTGGGGAAGGAGGCGCCTTCTAAACAGTTCCCTGATTGGGACCTATTTTGGTTCTAGTCGGGGTACACTTTTTGGTCCAACTTTCTCCAAATTGAAATCTGTTTGCACAGTTGCGATCAGACAGTCGAGCTCTATCCAACGATATACTTTTCATAATTATTTGTAATACTTTTTCCGACATCATATTTTTGGGTGGTTGACTTTGACAGAGTCAAAATTGATTCGTTTGACCTTTACTATAAAAGGTGTCATATTCAACTCATATTATTTATTCTCATGATTTATTTCAATAAACCATTTCAAAGTAAACAATTTCTTCATTTATTTTTAATTTGGGTCTGTACTCAGGTTCCCAACCAAGATTACCCAATTAGTCAACATTTTGGATTTATCTTTATGAGACTTATCCTGATTTGTGATATTGGATGTCAAAACACATTTCATTTTGGCCCAAAGCCCAATAACTATTCATTTTAATCGAAACAAATTTGACTAATTGAATATTTATTCATTAAAAATTTTAGGGTATGTTTTGGGGCGTTACACAATGAGTTTCTATAGAGCTGGGGCATAAAACACAGCTATGCAGCAGTCGGTTACCCCCAGACCAATGGGCAGGTCGAGAACACTAATCGTACCATCATAGATGGTCTGAAGAAAAAGATAATGGAATGCAAAAGCGCCTGGGTGGAGGAATTTCCCTACCTCTTGTGGACCTACAGAACTACCCCGAGGAAGGCCACGGGTGAAACTCCTTTCTCACTCACATATGGATTTGAAGCGAGGGCTCCAGCGGAGACCTCGTTGCTGAGTTATAGAGTGGAGACATTTGATGCCCTGGAAAATGAAGAAAACTTGAGGGCAGAGCTGCACCTCATTGATGAGCGAAGAGAAAGGGCGTACATACGGGCAGAGAACTACCGTCGGCAGGTCAAGTCATATCACGACCAGCGGGTGCGACCAAGGTAGTTCAGAGTGGGCGACTGGGTCCTTAGGAAAAGGGAGGTCAGTCGGCCGACTGATGGGGGGAAGTTTGCTAAGAGCTTCGAAGGGCCATATGTCATAAAGGAGGTGTTGGCCGATGGGACGTTTAGATTGCAGACACCAGCTGGAGGCGATGTTCCGCGAGTATGGAATGCCGCCAACCTTATTAAATTCTACCAATAGATTGTATTCCAGCCGCATTTCTCTCTTAAAGTTTAATAAAACCAGCATTCTGGCATATCTTGTCCTCAATTCTAAAAAAAAAGCGACCAAAAAAGATCACCAAGGAGCGACCAAAAGAGATCGCTAAAGCCTGAGCTGTATGGTGATTCGCGCTAAGATACCCAACAGGGGATGAAGTGTCGAATCCTGTCAAAGCGACCAAGACTGAAGGCTGTCAAGCGACGCGATTAACCAGAGGGCGACGCCGTGGCGAGAAAGCCTGAGAAAACGGCTAAGTCCGAAACATAAGATCTGTTGATCGCATGAGCGACCAGGGGACCTTGAAGGTATGGTGACGCCACAAGGGTTAAAATAACCCGAAAACGGCCAAGTCAAAAGAGGCAAGGTATTCTCTAATTAAGGTCTGAGGAAACCTGAGCGCTTAAAATGAGATACGAAAGAGAAGAAGATGGAACTTGTGAGTAAACAGGTAACATCAAAGTATATTTATGAAAATGTTTATTACATTTCAAGGATAATCTCTTGCATCTACTACAATACAGTTGAGAACAATCTCTACGTACTTCCAAAAGAAGGGATATTTTCCCATACACTTCTTACAAGGAAAAAGAAAAATCTAGAACTTGGTAAGCAGCTGAGGCTCAGGAAGGACGAAGGATCCAGGGGAAACAGGCAAGGTTGAAGGGTAGTTCTGCAGCTGTATAGGCCGACAGAACTCCGATCACCAGCCGTCCAGAGCGACCACCTTTCTTCTCCATCATGGAACAGGAGCGGTCGCCCCCAGCCTCGGCAAGAACCCACCGTCCTTCTCCTACCAGGGAGGCCCCAATCGGCATCACCTAGATGAGGATGCAGACCCTGAAGCCGCTCGCGCTACCCCAGACCGCCTAAGGGCCTTCTTGGGAGGTGAGCAACCCATAGGGCGGGGTAGGGAAGAACCTGGTTCTTCCCCCACCATAGCCTCATCTTTAGGCCTCACCGGTGAACTGGTGCGACTCTCGTTAGTCCATCGCTCCAGACTCGCGTAATATGCGCGCACTCATGCTCTAGGAGGGGTAAGTGCTCATCGTGGAAGCTCTCCCAGGCCATGCATTGCAGTGAATGGAGGGAGCATGGGGCATCCCAGTCAACCCGCCCGTTAAGCAGACGGTTTGCAAAGAGAGCCTTGTACGCCTCGCTGAAATCCTCATAAGGGTTTGGGGGAATCGGCGGCGGTTTCACGGATGGCAATTGCCGACGGGGCAACCGGCGGTAGAATTCGTAGGGGTGTAGCCCCCCCCTAGTCGTTGGAGTTAACTGATTTGGGGGAAGAGGCAGGTTCCGGTGAAGAAGGAGCCGACCCGTCGGAGAGATCCAGAGAAGTGGGGATTCCTTCAGACGTGACAAAAACGGAGAGAAGGAAAATATTTGATGATGGAATTGAGTAAAGATTGGGGGGCTATAAATAGCCCTGGGTGAAGAAACCGAAGGGACGAATGAGTCCCAAGGCAGCTGAATCGATAAAGTAACTTCGAGCCACGCGAAGGTCCAATCAGAGGCTGCGAAGGGCAGTGGGCCAGTTGGGCGGCACGCTGGCCAATCCCGAAGATGGGCCTGGACATGCAGCTGGGCCAGGGTCAAAAGTTGGGCCCAAACCATGTTAACGGGCTAAACTAAATTAAGGAGCATAGTAATCAAGTACAGAAAAAGGAAAGCGCATGATGGTCAAGACGAGTTAAACATCACATCCAACATGAGAACATTGCATCGAAACATCAAGGCATTCCGAAAAATCATAAGTCTTTACATTGCTGAAGGACAGAATAAAAGCAACAAGGAGAGGGGAGACAGGGGAGTTAGATGCTCGAGCTGGGATTTTCGCCTGCCTTAGATGTTGCTAAGCTAGCCCCCGGATTCTGGTCGCCCTGTCCATCTTCTTCTTCTTCTTCTTCGTCGGAAGCGCTCGAGCTCCCTCCGTCCAGGTAAGGACTGGGGTCGAACTCAGCCAGGGAGCGATAGGGAGGAGGAAAGCCGAGGTCGGGAAGAGAGAATCCTTTGGGAAGCTGGGCTAGCCTATCACGGAAGACTTGCTGGGAACGGAAGAGGCCGCAGTTGAAGGACTTGGTCCCCTCCTTGATCATCCATTGAGCCCCGGGTTTAGTTTTGAGCCACTCAGCTGCCAGCCTGTCCATTCGCTCTAGAGCGACCAGCGTAAAGCCAGGGGAGGACTTAAAAGACTCGATCGCGTCCTCCACATGGCGGGCCCGGTCGCTCCTCTCCAACTCCAGCTGCTAGATCATGTCAGTCTTCTCCCCCTCCAACTCGACCACGCGAGCGGAAACAGATTCCACCTCCAAAGACAGGGAGGCTTTACCTTCCTCAAGAGCAACGTAGCAGTCCTGTTGCGAGGCTTTCTCCGCCTCATGAACAGCGCAGCAGCTCTCCTTCTCCTCCAACTCCCTCATAAGACGGGCGACCTCCTCCTGTAACTCCTTCTGCTTGGTTTCCGCTGCCTTCATCGCCTCATCCAAAGCAGCTTGGCGGCCCCGCTTCCTGTCGACAACCTCAATCATCCCCAGCGTAGCCTATACCAAGGCATAAAAGTTAGGAGTGTAAGGGGGAAGGGTGTTGAGAAGGAAATCAAGGTGAGTACCTGGCTAAGTCTCAAGAGGACCATGTTGTCAAGATCGTCCTCAGAACCAGCCGAGATGTGGGCCTGGTCTTCCGCGGGCAGGGTGATCAAGGTCTCCAGCTGCACGTCCCCTAGACTTTGAGGCGGGGGAGGAAGGCTGAGCCTTGTTGAGCGACCCTCGGTCGCCACCTTGTAGGTCACTGCGGGCGACGAATGAGGTCGCTCCAAGACAACACCTTGGGACGACCCAGCCAGGTCGCCACCTGGCATCAGAGAGTGCAGAGGGGAAGGAACCGCATTTGTACCCGTTTCTAGGGCCGCATCATCCTGGTCCTCCACCACGATTACAGCCGGCTCTTGAGAAGGACTGTCCCCTCGGTGGGAGGAAGAGCACTTGCCATGGCCCCTCGCCTCTCTTTTCTTCTTCCTCCCTGCCGTGAAGTGACGGAGTAGGAGATCGTTGTCCATCTCTTCTCCTAGATCCTGTAACTCAACTGAAAGCGAGGAAAATGGTTAGCCTGTGAATAAAGTAAACTAGAACATTTTGGCGAAAAAAAGGGGTAATTTACAAAAAGGACCACAATCAAGAACTCCCTCAGGAGTGCCCCTTGGCTGGTCGGGTTGGCCGCCCCCGGGAACATCCCTCAACAGCTCAGGTTGGTGGCAAAGTTCGTCTTGGACGAACTCAAACCCCATCTTGGCAAGAGACTCCTCGGTTACCACCTCCTTAATGTTGATAGCCCCCCGGCTGCAGAGTTGGTGGGTCATGGACAAGAGGGTGGCGTTAGATGGGGGACAAGGGATGCGACGGAAAGAAGGGAGCCCTGAACCCGTGAAAGGAGATTCGGGCCCCATCGAGACAAAGACGAAGAAGGGCTTCCAGTCCTTTGTCGACCCCTTCTTGTTGCTGGTAAACAGTTTGCTGGATCTTTGGGAAAGACTGGCATAGGACGCCTAATCCTTGTGACCCTTGGTCAGCTTGAAAGTGAACAGGAAGTGGTCGAGAGTAGGTTTTACCCTTATATCCTTGCATCTAATCAGATAACTGGCAATGTACCGGTGGGAATTGGGAACCAACTGACAGGGGAGGAGGTCCACCTCGTTGAGGAATTTAATCAACAGCGGGTGGAGAGGAAATCGCAGCCCCTTCTTCAGGGACGCTAAATGGATTGTAAAGAACCCCGACGGAGCGTCTAGGGCGGTGTGGATGCTAGTAGGCCTTAGAACCTCAATAGAGGGTCCCACCATATTTGTGGCATTGGCAAACCCCCGGTCAATAACTTGGCAATGGCACAATGCCATGATGCTCTCGTCCAGCCTGACCCTCGAGCCCCCCCGTACTGGGGTCGAAGAAGGAAATTGCTTCATCAATCGGCGTAGCTTTTGGCCGGGCACAGCCGGCGGGGACTAACAGGACGATTGAGTCTGGCTTGGGTCACGGCGAGAGACCGATTGATCGGCATGACGAGAATTAGACGATGCGGAAGCTAAATCGGAACGGGTCGGGTAACAGCGGAATCCCCACTTCTCTCTCATGGTGGCAAGAGAGGGAACTGACCGGGAGCAGAAGCAAAACGGGTCGGGTAACAGCAGAATCACGAATGGATGGTGAGGCAAAAGAAAGAGATGGCGTCCGGCGGTGGTTTTTTACTGGCAATGGGGAGGCGAAGCGGGAGGTCATGATTACCTATTCGTGGAGATCGTGCCCAAATGTCACGCGAAACCCAAGGAACGGCCCGGATCCACGCTGGAGCGCCCACGTGGACTTCGTAAACTCCCCATTCCTCAACTTGGCCCAGTCGAGGATTGAGGAGTTGGGGGGCTTGTGATGGGCCAATATCCAACGGGCGGCCCAAATGAACCATTTCAACAATTTGGGTCAAGCGCTTGGAGGATATCCAGGCTTGGGCCGGCCCATGGAGTTAAGCCCGGCCAATTCCAGTCCACGAACAGTTGGAAGAGTCAACTCAGAGAAGGAAACGGAACGGAATGACGGAGATGAAGCCGGAAAAAGAGGATCGCGCCATTAACGGGATAGACCCCGTTGATTATGCATTACCTTAATTGTCTAGAGTTCATGTATAAATAGAGGAGACCTGAAAGGGGTCCGGGGGGAAAAATCAAGCTAATAATACATACCCAATTCTCGAACTCTTGTTCTTAATTCATTTCTTACAATCCGCTTTCTGAATCGGGTCATTTGGTGGATTTATTGTCCGTCACTCGGTTTTAACAATATTTCTAAAAAGAAAAATTACATTGAATATTGGGGGAGACCTAAAGTCCCTATTACAATCTAAATACATCATTATCAAAATCTATAATATTTTTCCCAACAATTTCCCCCTTTTTGATGATGACAGACAAGTGTTTAAGAGTTCCGGTCGTTGTACTGAGAATTAATTTTATAACTTTCTTTTAGTTTCTCATAATATACAGCTTGTTAACAAAAACTCTTAAACAAGTACAATTCAAATTACAATAATTCCTAAACCAAGTCTTGTCTTGAGATTTGTGATATTTTCTGCCATTTGCTGCTTTTATTTCCAGCGAATTTTGCTTGGAAGTTCAGATGGCGTTGCGTTTGATAGATCTTTAATATCCAAAGTGGATATTTGAGATCTAGGAAGCAACAACTACTCTCCCAAAAGCAAAAACAAAAACAAAAATAAAATGGAGGTAAAGGAGGAGGCGGTGGAAGAAAAGAAAAAAAGACAGAAGGACAAGAAAAAGGTTTTGGAAAAAAAAATTGATTGTGAAAAAGATAAAGTAAGGGTTTTTAAAGATGAAGGAAAAAATAAAATTTTGAAAAAGAATTTAAAGGATAAATATGGTGAAAAGAAAAAGAATTTTGAAAAATGCTTGAGAAAAGGGAACAGAGACTGCACAAAAAAAAAATTTGAAAAAGGCTTGGGAGAAGGGTGCAGAAACTGCAGAAAAGATTTAAAATAACAAAGAAAGAGAACAAAGAGAGAAGTGAAGAGGGTGAGATGAAAGTAGGTCAAGAAAAATCTAAAAAAAAACAAAATTTGAAGACCAAAAAAAGAGAAAAAAAATAAAGAAGAAACAAAAATGGAGAAAGTGTTGTTCCTGAGAAGGTGTATGGTGAAATCTTGAAAAATGCGAGATTTTCACCATATACCTTCTCTACTTCCGAGATTTTCACCATAGACCTTGAATGTCTTTTCTTCTTATTAGGCTTTCTTCATTGCCGTCTATGAGGGTGAGAAAGAAAAATTTCTCCATTGAGGATATTTTTCTTGGTGTTTTTCTCAAACAGTGAGTTTGAAGACTTTTCATATTGAAAGAGTTTTTTGTGATAGGAATGGATTGGAATGTCTTGGTTTAAATAGGAGGAGAGGTTGAGAGAGGGGAGGTTCACAGGTTTCATTTAGTGGGTAGTTGGAACGGTGAGAGTAAAAGAGTTTCAACTTCCAAGAAGTTGAATTTTGAAAAGTTGAAGGAATCTTTTACCGGTTACCAAGGTGTTGAAACTGTTCCAATTAAAATCAGTTTCGTTGGTTTGAACAACGTAACTGTTTTGGTTTGGCTAAGCCCAAAAGAGTGGCCCAAAAAAATCTATGCACTAAGGGAAATTGTTCCTATTGGGTTCTCAAGGCCCAAAATAAAACTATCATTTTTCATTCCCTATAGTTCTAATTTCTAATTAGGACGAGGTAGTACCAAAAAAAATTTAAATTTATTTTTAAAGAGAAAGTGGTACTATTTTTCCAAAGTCCTGTACATTATAAAAATCCTAAGGACCAGTACTTTAGAGTAAAGTTGAAAATGAACTAAGGATTAAATCTTAGTTTAAGAAGGCAGATTTTGTAAAGTACCTGAATCGGAGATCTCCAACTTTAGTACTTAAACTGAGGTATCTGTCTTGCATTGCTTAGAGTTCATCAATAGTTCATTACCAAAGACAATTGTTAGCCAAAAACAGTTAAGTTCCCCCTGAATTACATTCCCCCTGAATGTATGCGCTCGATGATAAATCCCAAAAATTATACTTAAAATGAATATGATCAAGTATAATTGAGAAAAGTATTAAGCAATGTTTAAACCAAAACTCATGTTTAAACAAAAAGGTGTTTTCATCAAAACATAAATAATGTTTTCAATACTTCCCCCCCTGGTTTGATGAAAAGAGCCTTTACTTCTTCTTGCGCTTAGATGATCCGGCAATCTCACCAATGCCTTGAATAACTCCACATTCTTCCTCTATGCGCTTGAGGTTGTTATATATTTCTTCTGTCTGGGCATCATTTGTGAAGTGGGAGACAATGGTTCCTACAGCTTCTGTTCCATCAAACTCAGTGTTTGATAGATGTTGGATTGAGTTCTCTGGATTGCTCTGCTAGGCTTCAAGTATTAGCTCCGTCATGTTCAGATGTGATGGAATGTATGAGATTTCTCCTTGTTTAACTTCAATCGGAAACTTTGGAATTTGAGATGGACTTTTGGGTTGGACAATCACTTCCAGCTTATGTTTTCCAGTGAAGGTACCAAAGTGTCTGAAGAGTCTGAATGCTTCCTTCTGATTGTCAGCAAGAACTTTTAGGTAATCTTGAGTTACCACCTGGTTTGCTGATGACACTGCCAAGGCTGATCTGATATCCATCTGGAGGAGTAACATCTGCTTCTGAAGGTTGATTGTGACTGTGGCAATCTGCTGCTTGATTTCAGTGGCTTCTTTGAATTGAAGGTGGCAGTCAGATGCATAGGCCATCATTGTATTGCTCACAGGCTTACTTAATAGAGAAATGATTTCTAGAGTTTTGTCTACAGATTTGCTTATCTCATTGAGATTTGAGAAATACTTTTCTTCACATATCTCCATCAATTTGGTGTGCCTTGCTTCAATCTATTCTATCTCTTGCCTAAAAGAGGCATGCTGAGACTCTAGGGCTGATTCAATCAACCCTTGGACTTTTCTTGTCCAGGTTTCCAGAATCTCATCTAGAAGAGTGGATGTGGAAGAGTTGTGAAAGTGGAAGTTTGTTACCTGATGTGAAGAAGGTACTCTGTGGAAGAGTTGCAGAGGGAGTGATTCAGCATCTCCGTGCTCAGCTTCTTCATCATCAATCATCAGCGTCTTTTCCGATTCTTCCTCTGTCTCATTCATGAATTTTGAGATGTCCCTTGAAAGAGAATCTCTGTCTTCATCACCAATTTTCTGCTCAAAGATAGTAACTGGAGTTTCAAAGGTCTCCAGTCCAGCCATTTGAGCTTCCTTCTCAGCTTCTGCAGAACTTCTCTGGATTTCTACAACTTGGACTTCTTGAGCTTCATATGCATTTGTCTCTGGAGGAGTGGACTTCTCCAGATTCTCTGTTGACTTCTCCGGAATCTCAAGTTCACGCTGATTGGAGATCTCACAAGGAGTTGTGATAATCTCTTGAACTTGAGATTGGAGGAGTTGAAGAAGTTCTTCCTCTGATGCTTCCTGGTTCTGTTCTTGTTGTGGAGAAGCTCCATTCTCCTGGACAGCTTCAGGCAGATTAGTCTCAAAAGCAGGGGAGGTTTCCGGAAAAACTTGGAAATCCTCTGTTGTGGCTTCCTGTGCTTCTGTGGTAAGAGCCATCTGATCTTCTGTGGCCTTTGAGAAGATTGGCCTGTAGACTGAAGGATCTTCATCGTCCACTTCAAATTCTGAGACTGGTGTGGATGCCAAGTATTCTAGATGCAAATCTTCATAGTTTCTTTGCCATACCCAGTCAACATCCAGGATTTGCTCACAGCAGTAGTTGACTGGCAGACCCAAGCATCTCTTGATGATCTTTTCATTTTTCAGTTTTTGGTCCCATTCCAACAACTTCTCTACCGAGTTCTCAACCTTCCAAGCTCTCCAGTCATAATAGAGCTGCATGAATTGGCTCTCTGCATCATTAGTTTGAGCCTGTAGTGAAGGAGTTGGAGAACTTTGAACTTGGGGAATTTCTTCATCAAGTTGCTGAAGGCTCTGGTTGTGTGCAGAGTGTTCCTCAACTGGCTCCTTTCCCACCAACTCATCCGGGTTGATATTTCCAGATGTGGAGGGAGAGGTGATTTTCCTTTTCTTCTTTCTTTGAAGTTCCCCTTGGGCAGATACTTCTTCTTCTTCTTCCAAATTCAGCGCTGCCAAAATGTGCGGTGCTTCAGCACTGGGAGAGGGAGACACCACTTGCTTCCTCTTTACTGACTTCTTCAGACTCATGATAGGGACATTGTTTGAAGAGCTTTCCTCTGCAGTTGCACTAACACCAGTTCTGTTTTCCCCTTTGGAAGACATATAGTGTAGCCAATATATGGCATCATACTTCTTGCCTTTAGAGGCAACACCCATGGACTCCAAAATGTACCCAAGGCACAATCCTTGACACAAGTATTTCTGTTTGGGCCTTGGAAATGGAATTGAAGAAATGTGTAGCCCAATTTACCTTAGATTTGGTAATGAGGGCGTTGATGATGAAGGCCCTCTCTTGAGTGATGTCATCAGCATGTCCTCCGCTACCATTTCTGTTTGTCCAGAACTAACTTGTAGTCGTTCTTTAAGTCTGCTTTCTTCGCTGGGCCAGAGGGGATTTGCCCAGAATTTCCAATGGTCTTCCAATCCAGATTCCTGGACGAGAGCTTCCCAATTTCAATTCCAGAGTTGGGAAGATGGAGCTTCTTCTGCATCCTTTTCTGTGAGATCTTCACTTTCATGCCTCCAACAGTTGATTTGATGAGCTGAATCGATCTTTCTGGATTCTCCTTTGATTTGACAGTCTTGATTTCTCCATTTCTATAGAATTCCATAACTTCTTCTTCATATTTGAATCTGATTTCCATATGAAGGAATTCAGAGAGTTCCTGTGCATCAATCATCTCCAAGTAAGTTTGATAGAACGCCGGTGAAGAGCATTTGGCTTCCAATTTCTTAAAGTGAACATTTGCGCCTCCAACCTTCATTTTCGTTGAATTTTGGGTGAAAGAATTTGAAGAAATTAGGGTTTTTGAGAATTCTATCAGAGAGTTCTTGTAAAGAAGACAACGAAAATTTGAGTGGGCTGACCCAGTTGAGATCTGAATATAGTGGCGATTGGGTTTAATTTTGGCGATTTATGCGGCTAGTGACGATTGGGTTTTCAACTGTTCCCAAGGCCACGTGCCTACCCAATACTTCAATAGACGTGGAAGGTAGGTCGGAAAACTTGGCTTCACTTAATGATTTTGTGAAGATATCCGCCAATTGTTCTTCATTTGAAATATACTCAATTTTGATATCTTTCTTTTCCACATGATCTCTGATGAAGTGATGCTTGACATCAATGTGCTTAGTGCGAGAATGATGCACTGGATTTTGTGAGATAGCTATAGCACTTTGATTGTCACAAAAGATTGTCACTTCCTTTGTTTTGACTCCATAATCCAGTAGTTGTTGCTTTAACCACAAGATCTGAGCACAACAACTACCAGCAGCAATGTACTCTGCTTCTGCTGTTGATGTAGAGATGGAGTTCTGTTTCTTACTGAACCAAGAAACAAGATTTCCGCCAATGAATTGACAAGTACCAGATGTACTCTTCTGGTCAACTTTGCATCCGGCAAAGTTAGAATATGAGTATCCCACTAACTCAAATGAACTGCTCTTAGCATACCATAAACCTATGTTCTGAGTTCCTTTGAGGTATCTAAGAATCCTTTTGGCTGCTATTAGATGACTTTCCTTTGGCTTTGACTAGAATCTGGCATAAACACCTACTGCATATGAGATATCCGGACGGCTTGCAGTAAGGTAGAGTAAAGATCCAACTATTCCTCTGTAGAGAGTCTGATCAACATCCTTTCCATCTACATCCATATCAATCTTGGTGGATGTACTCATGGGGACAGAAACAGATGACTTCTGATCAACTTTGAATTTCTTGATAAGATCCCTAGTGTACTTGGCTTGGTTGATGAGAGTCCCTTCACTTCTCTGTTTGATTTGAAGACTAAGGAAGTAGTTGAGTTCCCCCATCATGCTCATCTCAAATTTTTCTTGCATGAGGGTGGAGAATTTGGTGCAAAGGGCTTCCTTAGTAGAGCCAAATATGATGTCGTCCACATAGATTTAGACTACTAAGAGATCTTCTCCATCTTGAAGTTTGAACAAGGTCTTGTCAATGACTCCTTTGATGAATCCATTGTCTATAAGAAATTGAGACAATGTATCATACCAAGCTCTTGGTGCTTGTTTGTGTCCATATAGCGCCTTTTTGAGTCTGTACACTTGATCACTTTTAGTGTGTAACTCAAATCCTGGAGGTTGTTCCACATAAACTTCTTCCTCTAGGTTTCTGTTAAGAAATGCGCTTTTGACATCCATTTAATAGACTTTGAAGTCCTTATGAGCAGCAAAGGCTAGAAACAGCCTTATAGCTTCAAGTCTAGCAACTGAAGCGAAGGTTTCATCAAAATCTATTCCTTCTTCTTGACAATAACCTTTAGCAACCAACCAGGCTTTGTTTCTGACAATAACGCCGTTTTCATCCATCTTGTTCCGAAAGACCCACTTTGACCCACTTTTCATCTGAATGGAATGAACTCCGTAGGCTTCATTCTATCTCCTTCATTGATCTCTTCATCCTTGTCTGAGAGATCCATCTAGAACCTCATGATCATGCTTTGATGACTTGTCAACCACATGTTTTTCATCAAAAATAACATGTATTGACTCTTCAGTGATCATGGTTCTTTTTTTGAAGACTCTGAACGCCTTGCTCAACATAGAATATCCTAGGAAGATGGCCTCATCTGATTTCTCATCAAAGGTGTTCAGATGATTCTTCCCGTTATTTAACACAAAACACTTGCTCCCAAAAATATGGAAATATGATATATTAGGCTTTCTCTCATTCCACAGTTCATAGGGAGTTTTGTTGTGCCTTTTATAAATCATACTCCTATTTTGAGTATAGCAAGCTGTGTTTACAGCTTCAGCCCAAAACCTCTTTGGCAAGGAAGCTTCTGCTAGCATGGTTCTTACTGCTTCTTTCAAGGTTCTGTTCCTTCTTTTAACTACACCATTCTGTTGAGGTGTCCTTGCTGCGGATCTCTAATGAAGAATTCCGTTTTCTTCACAGTAATGAATGATGATTTCATTCAGGAATTCTGTGCCTTTGTCAGATCTGATCTTCTGGATAGTCTAACTTGCTTGGGTTTGAATCAGCTTCATGCAATTTGTGAGCTTCCCTTGAGTTTCCTTCTTGCTGTTGAGGAAGATTGTCCACGTGTATCTTGAATAATCATCAACTACTACCAGGACATATTTCTTTCCACTCAGACTTATTGGTATAACAGGGCCAAATATGTTCATGTGAATAAGGCTTAGTATCCTTGTAGTTGAGGGTGCCGGTTTTGCCTTGAAAGTAGACTTGACTTGCTTTCCTTTTTGACAAGCATCACAAATGCTTTCCTTTTTGAATACAGCTTTGGGAAGACCTTCTACTAACCCTTCTTTGGATAGTTTGTTGAGAGTTTTGAAGTTAAGATGACTCAACCTCTTGTGCCAAAGCCATAGAAGGTTAGTGTCACCTTTGCTGATTAGGCATGCTTCCTTGACATCGTCCCACATCACTTCATAGATGTTTCTAATTCTCTTCCCAGTGAGAATGACTTCATTTGTGGAATTGTTCTTGAGGGATGCCATGTCCTTGCAGAATTCCAGAGAATAACCTTTATCACAAAACTGACTTATGCTAAGAAGGTTATAGTTGAGACCTTCCACATAAGATACAGCTTGGATGGTTAGTCCCTTGTACACCAGATTTCCTAGCCCTTTTGTAAGGCCAAAGTCATTGCTTCCCCCAAAAGTAACTCTTGGACCATCATAGGGGATTAGATTGCTCAAAAGGCTCGCATCACCCGTCATGTGTCTTGAACAGCCACTGTCTAAGTACCAGACACCTGGGTACTTAGTGGCTTCCTGCATTAGAAGGAGAAAGGTTTTGGTACCCAATTAAGTTTGGGTCCAGAATAGTTAATGGTGTGTATCTGATATACCCCGGGCGACTACCAACGACTCTAAAGTCGTTAAACAAATTAACGGAATAATGGCTAAGTGTTATGATTCCTTTTGGGCCGAACTTATCAATCCTAAAACCCGCCACATAGCCATAATTTCCCTGAGCCCAACTCCAACTTAAAAGGCCCAGCCTTTCTCACTCAATCCAAACCAAAATATCCAAAAAAATAATAAACCCAAAACTACATTTATTTTTCCTTCATCCCTGGCCAAAAACCTCATGCCACAACCCTGCCAATACCACTCCTTTACACTTCAACTTGGCTAAACAAACAGCCATAAAATCCAAGACACCTTGACCCACACCCACACCCTTCAAATCCCCATGTTTTTACCCCATATCCAGCCCAGGAAATACCTCCAAATAACCTGCTTCCCCACCCCTTTTCTCCTGCCCAAAACAACCCCACCTAAGCCAATCAATTGTGAATTATATTCACATATTCCCTCCCACCACTAATAGCCAAAACCCTGCCCTACAAGTACAATAATCCCTGTGTTTTTCCCACTAAAGAAACATCAACAAGTGGCCATTAATTTCTTTAATTTGTGTGAATAAGAGACTTGGTAGTCTCCCTTTTATATGCCTATATAAGCTCATCCCTGAGCATTGTGAGACATACATTGTATTCCAATTTTAATCAAAGTGATTCACTTGTGTGTTTCATTCCAAATTCCTAATCCTATATCTTAAGAGTGGTTCTCTTGAGTGTGAGTTTTAGGTTCTAGTTATTTAAGTGAGTGTGTAATATCTTATTTAAATGCTAGATTCAACCCCAAATTAAGATAAGGGTGTGTAATATCCCTTAACACCAATTTGGTTTGTTTTTCCTTCCCAAAGAAATACCTTGTTCCTGTCTCGAGCTGTCAAATAATCGATTATCCCTACTGGAAATCGATTTTCTATCCTTCGTGAAACATCTGCAGTCTTTAATAGTCGATTATCACTCTCATGTAATCGATTATCAACCTTTCCCAGAAAAACCTGCCATCCTCAATAATCGATTGACACCTCTTGTAAATCGATTATCTCCCCTCCCAGAAAATCCCTAGAAAATTACCCCAGAAACTGAAGCCCCTGATAGTCGATTATCCACTTTGGGAAATCGATTATTGCTTCCCTGTCCTTAACAAGATAATTCCTTCAAAAACCTGAGCTTGGGTATAACAGTATCCCTACATCAAGTTTGAAGTTGCAGGGAATTTTCCTTGCAGCCCTAAACTTGTTGGGATTGTAATCATAGTTGTAGGCATAAAACTTCCTACGTGCAGGTGGTGCAATTTCCTGTTTCCTCCTAGCAAACCTAGGTTGACAAGACCTATATTTTTGTCTAGGTTGTGCATAGTGTGGCCTGTGTCGGTTGTAAGCATACTTAGGTAGAACAAATAGTTTCTAGGGTAGAGAATGACTATATCTTGGCATAGTTCTCCACTCAGAATTTCTCGGAAAACTCCTATCTACCCCATAGTGAGTATAGCCTCATGTATAGTGGGGGTTAGAAGGTTTTCTTCTGAAATTGTTTCCTTTTTGAGGTGTGTCCATCTTCCTATAGTTCTTAGGAGGGACTACCTTTTTGGGAACATCTGTGGGTTTTTCCTTCTCCTTTCCTTTCTGCTTATTGGGTTTGGCAGTAGGTTTGGGAGGGATAAAAGTTGTTTTCCCTTTCCTTTTGGAACTGGAGGGGTCAAAACCAAGTCCTTCACGATCCTTATGTTTGGTCGTTTCAAGAAGCTTATCCACTCCTTCTTTAGACTTCAGTATCCCTAGCTCCTTGTTGAGGGATTTCACCTTTTTAGAAAGAGATTCATTCTCAGCCTTGAGTTGAGTGATCTCACTTAGTTGACTTTTCCGACTTTCAGTCAACTTGAGATTCTCTTCACTCAACAGCTTCTTCTCTTCTGTTAAGGATGAGTGTTTGAGATTTATTTCCTCAAAATCTTTCATCATCTTTTTGGACTTGTCAAAAAGTATTTCAGAAGTTGGTATGCTTTCATAGGAAGATGAGCAGGAGGTTTGTGATGTTACCTCTTGTTCAACATCATCTTTGGCCATTAGGCAGTGAGTGTCATCTCCTGACATGGTCCACCGATCCTCATGGTTGGACTTCTCAGCTCTGTGCTCCATGCAGACGAGGGCTTCTTCATCCGAGATTGAGCTGGATGACTCGTCACTTTCAGCTGCTACCATTGCCTTCTTCTTCTTCTTCTCGTTTCTTTCTCTTTCTCCGTACTTCTCCACTTTTGGGTACGGGCATGCTGACTTCCAGTGGCCAGGCTTCCTGCAATTATAACATAAATAAGATTCAGGAGGGGAGTCACTTACCTGTGGCTTTCCCTTGGATGGCCTTCTGACTGAGTCAGCTTTCTTGAAGAACTTCTTGAACTTCTGGAATTGCTTGACCATCATGGCAAATTCCTCATCGTAGTTCTCCATTCTTGAACTTGATGGCTGGTTAGAGGAAGGTGTGTCACAGTTCCTTGGGCATGTCCCTTCACTTGATGGGACTCTTGGGGTTGTCATCAGTGCCGTGGAAAATGGAGTGACTTGTTCTTCCTTCTTCTTCTTCAGCTCATGCTCATAGGTTCTGAGCTCATCAAGGAGACCTTGGACAGTGTAGTTCTCCAGGTTTCTTCCTTCTTCCATGGCTGTGGCTTTGGTGTACCACTCAGTTGGAAGAGATCTCAGTAACCTTACATTCTTTTCTTTGGGAGAAAGAACGTGGTTAAGTGATGCAAGATCATTTGGGATTTTGTGGAATCTTTCATCCAACATATCAAATGATTCTCCGGGAAGCATTTTGAAGCTTTTGAATTTCTTGAGCAGAATCTCTATCTTCTGCTTTCTTAGGTCCTCTGATCCCTCACACAGCTTCCCAAGACCTTTCCATATCTCCATGGCAGTCTTAAGATGCTTGATCTTAGAGAAGGTGATGGGATCAAGTGTCTTGAAGATGGCTGCTTTGGCGACGTTGTCCAAATTGTGCTTCTTGTAATCTCTATCATCCTATTTCTCCTTGGGCTTTGGAATGTACTGGACTACATCTGGATTGGTTGGATTCCTCTTAGGATTCTCCATTTGGATTTTTAAAGGTCCATCTTCAAGCACCATCCACATGCAATCATGTAGAGCGTAGAGGTGTGCTTCCATCATGATCTTTCAATCATCATAACCTAGAAGAGAAAACTTGGGCAAACCGTGATCCATATTGTTCACCATTATGATCGCTTCTCGTTAATCTAAATGTAGATAGTGAGAAGTAAGCTCCGATACCAATTGGTGGTCCCAAAGTGGTGAGATACAAAGTCTAGAGGGGGGGGGGTGAATAGACTTTGTTGTAAATTAAAAACTTTTTCGTTTCTTTTTGAAAACGTGAAAATGAGTGTGTGATCTAGAGTTCTTGTGAACCTTAGATTAAGTGCGGAAGTTGGTGGGTAATTGAGCTGTAACCAATATGGATGGGTTAGTTTTCACAGTTAATATAGTAGGAAGTATGAGTAAAGATAAAAGGGAGAGACACGCAAACTTTAACGAGGTTCGAATGTGGGGTAATCCTTCTACGTCCTCAAAATCCACTATGTAGTTGGTTGTTGAATAATGAAGCAACAATTACACTTGTGTGAATTTCTGCACGGTATATCTTCGCAAGGCCAATGTTGCTACTGCACTCGTGCTGGCTTTGTTGTTCCTTCGAAGGTCACGCTTATTCAACAACTACAAGATCCGAACAATAGGACTTGCAAGATCAACTTGTAAGAAAGTTGATGTACCCCCTTTTAATCAAGAAGTTTGGTTAAAAGTTATATCCTTCAACGTGGTGTGGTACTTGAGGCAAGGAAACCTTCAAGTGTTTACACTATAGCTCTTTGGAAGGAGGAGAAGTTTGCTTCTGGATAAGGAGTTTAGAAATCTCTCTTTATCAAGCTTTTTGGGCTAACTGTGAATGTGACAGCTTTGTAGTTTGAGATTGCTTCGTTGTGTTCTTTACTTTCTATCACATATATTTTTCTCCAGTCTTCCAAGGATGCTATATATAGCTAGATTGGGTAATCTATTCGTTGAATCAAAATAGACTATCCGTTACATTTGCTGGCTTCAATTTTGAATGAAGATTGTGATTGAAGATTCGTCATTGGAATGGGTGTTTGGACGTACCCAATTGTTTGAGAATGGATTCCTTTTTCCACAGAATCCGTCTTCTAGCGGTTGTTCAAGAATTATGGACTGTAGCTCCTTACTCAGTTTGTCTTCTAGTGCTTGTTTAGAAATTCTGGGCGAGCTCTTTAATTTGAGAGGTCCAGACTTTGTCTTTAAGTCATTTGTTCTTGAATCAGCATAATTATCTTCAATCTAGCCGTTGAAAATCAATAGATTGATTTTTCCTTACCAACGGGTAGAATTTCTTCATTCAAGACTTAGATAATTTTCTAAGACTTTTTCTCACTTGTCTGTTTTTGAGAATTCCGGTTTTTCTTTGAGGCATCCGGTTCTTTGCAGACAAATCCGGAAAAGTCATTCATAGACTTCCAGGTGAGAAAGTGATCCGCGCTAGTCTTCCGATTTGGATGACTTAGCCTTCAGCGGGTTGTAGCGAGACATCCGGTTATCATGCAGAGTTCCAGATTAGAGGATCTTCAATTGCTTTGAGAATTCCTTACTTGGCTCTGACATTTCCGATCAAGATATCCAATTTCCATATCACTGAATTTGATTAAGTCTTCAACCATTGACATCAAACCACAAAGTGAAATATCACAAATTTATTGGATATCTCAAGAACTCGGTTTTAACAATATTTCTAAAAAGAAAAATTACATTGATTATTGGGGGAGACCTAAAGTCCCTATTACAATCTAAATACATCATCATCAAAATCTATAATATTTTTCCCAACACTGACTAGATTAACTTCATCAATGAAGATGGCAAAATCATTACTCAATCAGTGAAGTATGAATGGCCCCCCTACTTAGGCCCCCTACTTATGCTCCATTTGTAATAGAATTGGGCATTCTGGTGAGATGTGCAGGAGGAAAACCCCCTTAAAGACATTGGCCCTCTCAACAAGAAGACTGTATGAAGACCCAAAAGGATACAAACTAATGGTAAGGAAAAACTTAATGTGAAGGAAGATAGCCCTCCATCTGGGGATGATGATGATGGAGCAGATGGGAGGAGCAAAGAAGATATACAAACAATGAATGGAGAGAAGAACCAATCAACTAGTCCCCGAGATAATGATGAGTTTACAGAAGTGAGTAAGAAGAAAGCGGCAAGAAGAATGTCCTTGGAGGGAAAGGAATTGTATGTGGGAGGTATTCATACAGATTTACACCATGTCCCTTACAAAGGGCATTTTCCTTTCCTGCAATCACAGGGTGCTGGAGTATAAAGGGGCTTAATAGCACTAATTAACAACATGAAATAAAGAATATAATTAATTAATATAAACTAAGTGTGTTTGGTATCCTGGACACTAAAATAAGGGATGGAAGGGTCAAAAGTATAGCATGGGATGGAATTCTTATATTAATAAGAATTTTCACCCACTGGGGAGGATCTGGGATGTATGGAATCAGAATATGGTGAACATTAGGATTATGGATGTTACAGAACAGTTAGTCCACTATTAGGGGAGATTTGTTGGGGATGACAAAGAGTTCTTCCTAACATTTTTTTATGCACATAATGATCCTTCTAAAAGGAACTTTGGGATAATTAATCTAATTAGCATCTCTGTAAATGCTGCTTGGTGTGTGCTTGGGGATTTCAATACAGTCCTAAACCTTGATGAAAAAATAGGTGGTAATCCTGCAAATTCGGAAGAGTCTGGAGCTTTTAAAGATTGTCTTGGTGAATGTGGATTAGAAGATCTACCTTTTGAAGGATAAAAATATACCTGGACAAATAACCAAGACATGGATAACATGATATATTTAAAGTTAGATAGAGTATTGGATAATGTGGAATGGCTAATCAAGTTTGATTATAAAGTCTTCTTCATGGAAAGAGGTATTTCAGACCACTCCCTTGTGTTCTGTATGAAGTCACGAAACAAAACATAAGGAGAGAAGAGAAAGTAAGGTTACTACACAAGATATTACCAGGGTTGTGTGAGTGAGTGTAGGGAGTAATTGGTATTTAGTTACTCAAGAAAAAACATCCGGGTGTAGGGTGTGGGGAAGAGTTTTTTCGATATCGTTCTAAAATAGTGAAGATATAATTTTTCTCTCAAAATATTCTTCTTGTGTGTGTCTATTTATTTTTCACGCTCTTGACATTTTCGGAGTCTTACATGCTTAAAATCCCAACAATTGGTATCAGAACCAAGTTCCATTTGGGACAAAGGGATTTCAAAGCGGTAATGAGAGAAAATCAAAGAACTTGAAAATCGCATCAGTAAAAAGAGTTCTTACTTGGGAAGGGATAATCAAGGCTTTAAAGGTGAAGCTTCAAAGGACAGAAAAAATGGCGGATGGTGAGTGGGCCAAACATCAAAAGAACGACAAACTGGAAAAATTGTTGGAAGAAGAGTGGGAGGATTTGAAGGACATAGAAACGAGTACAATTTGCCTATGTCATGTAAATAATACTCTTTGGGAGGTTCTTGGTTTGACGGATCTATTAGATATTTGGGACAAGGTGGAGAGTCGGTACAAGTCAAAATCGTTGACAAGTAGGATATACTTGAAGAAATGATTGTTTGGTCTCAAAATGGCGGAGGATGCAAACTTCAATGGAAATTTGGATGAATTAAAAAAGATTAAAACAGAGTTGAAATCCATTGATGTGAATATTGAAGAGGAGGACAAGGCATTGCTTTTGTTGGCTTCATTACCTTTGTCTTTTGACAACATCTTGACCAGGCTTTTGTTTGGAAAAGAGACCTTAAAATTTGATGAAGTAGTGATGTGTTGTTGATGAACGAGACTCAGTGGAGCAGCAACGGGGTATCAAATGAAGGTCAAGCTTTGGTAGCAAAAACGATTGGTCGGGAATGAGGACGGTCTAAAGAGAGGGGTGGCGTGTCCCAATGCTCCAAATCGAGCAGTAAAATTTTCCAGTGTTACTATTGTGATGAAGAAGGTAATTTCAAAAGGGATTGCCAAAGAGGAGGAGGGAAAAGAAGGACGAAAAAACACCTTTGGTTGTGATTGCCGAAAGTTTGAACCAAGCAAGTGAAGAAGACTTGTTCTTGGAAACTACAAAAAGTCTAGGTAAATCACGTTGGATATACGATTCTGGTTTTTCGTTTCACATATGTTCAGTTAAGGAACATTTTGATACGTATCAAACTTATGATGAGGGTGATTTCATGATGGGAAATGGTGCATGGAGTAGGATTCTTAGGGTCGGAACAATCATGTTTGCATGTTTGATGGCGTGGTGTAAACAATAACTGGGATGAAACATGTACCAGATCTAAAAGGAAATTTGATTTCAAGGTGGAGTGTTAAAAAAAATCAGGGGAGCAATTATGGTAGCAAAAGGTGTTTTGTAAAAAAATGTGTATAAACTTTTACGAAATGGTTTAACAGGAAAGCTGCCAGAAGGAAATTTTACAGGTTTGTCAATCAGAGTATTTGCATGGAAGAAGAGGGTAACGTTTGAAGTTTTTCTAGTTGGTGGAGGCAATGACCTCGTCGGAACAAACAAGGTGGAATTGGGCCAAGTATTATTATTTAATCAAGGTGGAGTTTGTTGAGATATTTTGATTAAATAATTCAAACAAAAAAATGAAAAAACTACAATTATATGGGGACATGTTTTTGGATGGCATGACATGCGTGAGTGGTCTTTTCTTGTTGTTTTCTCCTTGCATGGGATTCTTTCTCCCTTAGGTAGTGGCAATTGGAATGAGCTAGGATGGAGTCTTTTTCCTTCTATTTAATTGTGTGTGGTGTATGAAGACACAAAAAAAACAAAGAGAGAGGAGAAAGTAAGGTTACTACACAAGATATCACCGGGGCTGAGTGAATGAGTGTAGGGAGTAATTG